TATCGGCAGCCTGTGAACGCGGAAGAGGGCAGAAGGGATCATGCTGGATATGCTTCCTTCTTATCAACCCGCATATTGTGGTTGACGTGAGATCATCCATTTGCATCATCGGAACCTCTTTCACTCACGCGCATGGTACGCATTGAATCGCACTATGAGAAGAGAGAATTGTTATCATTCATTACCAATGCAGTCGAATCGTTATGGCTCTATGGCCAATGCATATGCAAAAAACGCCCAAAATGCGCTGCGCTGCTGAGCACGCTATTCGCTTTATCGTACAAGTATTTCGTCCCAAGTGAGACTCGCTCAGTCGTCGTCCTCACCAGACTCCTCCTCCTCCTCTTCCTTCTTCTTTTGCTCGCGCTTCTTGCGGTCGCCCTTCTTTCCCTTGAGCTCCTTCTCCCACATCTTGTTCGCGACGTCCTTGTCGAGATCTGGGAAGACAATATCGAAGACTTCCTTGTACCATTGAACCGGGCGGCCTTCTATGCCTTCTTTGATGTTCTGTCATGTGTTAGCAGATAGCTTGATTTTCATTTAGAACAGGAAAACGTACCTCAGGCAACTCAAGCCAATCGCTCATGTTGTCGTGTGGGAAGATGACCGTCTTTGCGCCCGCTCTCCGTGCAGCAACAGTCTTCTCACGTAGTCCACCAATCCGCAGCACCTTGCCGGTAAGAGTCAGCTCACCAGTCATGGCAACATCATCCCTGATCTTCCTGTCAAGTGCCAGACTGAGCATGCTGGTCGCCATGGTGATACCAGCGCTCGGTCCGTCCTTTGGTGTGCCACCCTCGGGGCAGTGAAGGTGTATCCTGGCGTGTTCGAAGAACTTGTTCTTGGGGAACTCGCGGGCCATGATACTCTTGGCGAACGAGTAGGCTACACTGGTCGACTCCTTCATGACGTCCCGAAGCGATCCACTGCGCTCAAGACCGGGTGATGAGGATGCTGAGAGCGCGTTCTGCACTATCGATTCTATGTAGAGCGCTGAACCGCCCATCGACGTCCATGCCAGACCCATGGCCACACCGGGTGGCGTAAAGTCGTACAGACGATCTGATGTGAAGATGGCGGGTCCGACGTAGTCCTTCAGGTTGTCCTTGGTGATGGAGACGTGCACGGAATCTGGGATCTTGAGCGCGACGCGAGGCTTCTCGGTGGTCTGCTCTTCAATGTTTTCCGGTGTCTCCTTGAGATCGCTTTTGTCCTTCTCTGACTCCTTTTGCGCAGCCTTACCCTCTTCAGTGAGCGCTGCAGCCTCGGGGAGGGCGTCTTCGCCTACATCGGTGACAATCTTCAGTGCTGATTTGCGGTACACCTTCTCAATGTGCTTCTTCAGATTTCGAACACCAGACTCGCGACAGTACTTGTTGATGAGCTCAACAATCGCATCGCTCTCGAGAACGACATCGGCGTCCTTCAGCCCACTCATCTCCTTAGCTGCGGGAGACAGGTACTTCTCAGCAATGGCGATCTTCTCGTCTGAAACGTAGCCTGACAGTCGAATCACTTCCATACGGTCTAGCAATGGTTGTGGGATTGTCTCATCCATGTTTGCTGTGCACACGAACAGCACCTTTGAAAGATCGACAGGTACATCCAGGTAGTGATCCAAGAAGCTGTTGTTCTGCTCTGGGTCCAGCAGCTCGAGAAGTGCTGATGCTGGGTCGCCGTGGTTGCTGTTGCGTCCGATCTTGTCAACTTCGTCAATCAGAACAAGGGGGTTCTCTGTTTGACATTTCTTAAGCGCTTGAATGATGCGTCCTGGCAGCGCACCAACGTATGTCCTTCGATGACCCTTGATCTCTGCTACGTCGTACATACCACCGACACTGAAGCGGTAGTACTGACGGTTCAGTGCGCGAGCGATCGACTTTCCAATCGACGTCTTACCCACACCGGGTGGACCGACCAAACACAGAATCTTTCCTTCCACTGTGCCGCGAAGTTTACCAACAGCGATGAATTCCAGAATGCGGTCCTTGACATCTTTCAGTCCGTGATGATCCTCGTCCAAGACTTCTCGCGCATGTTGGATACCGAAGTTTTCGGCGCTGCGCAGACCCCAGGGTAGCTGTGTGAGCCAGTCAAGGTAGTTACGTGTGACGTTGAACTCGGAACCGTTGGGCTCAAGACCCTGTAGCTTGCTCATCTCCTCTTCGAAGACCTTGCGCACAGCTTCGGGCATAGCCAGCTTGTTAGCCTTTTCATTGAACTTTTCGATAAGCTTGTCCTTTCCGTCCGATTCGATACCGAGCTCGCGCTTGATACCCTTCATCTGCTCCATCAACATGTACTCGCGGTGCTTCTTGGTGACTCTGGCATTAACATCGTCGGCAACCTTCTTTTGCAATTCCGCGCTGATGAGCTCCTTCTTGAGCACTTCCAAGGCCTTGCTGAGACGCTTCTCAATGTCCATCTCTTCGAGCGCATCCTGTAATTCATGCGACTCAGCTTGTGCTACCGCGGCGGCGAAGTCAGCAAGCTTAACAGGGTCCTCTCCAACGTTCATAGTGGTATGGACAGAGAAGGTCGAGACGTGGTCGCGGAACAGCGGATTGAGCAGTGCAACTCCCTTGAAGGTGTTGACAATCTCGTTGACCAGCACCTGGATTGTCTTGTTGCTCTTCAGGTCGAATGGCTCTTCGACCATATTCTCAACATCGGCAATGCTGACATTGCGACCCTTGAGGATGGTGGGTACGAGCGCTCCCTGGGCCGCCTTGGCCTCTTCTGTTGCCTCCTCGAAGCTAGCGACGACATCGCCCTTGGATTGTGTTGCGCCTGCCTCCGGCTCTGGGGTATCCGCACTCTCGCTCAGTGTGCTTTCAGCCACAGATGACTCCTCCTTCGCTTGCGGTGGCGACTTGAGACCAGTCATCTTTATGCGACGGTGTGGGTAGAGGACGCAGGTCATGGCAAAGTTGTCATCGGCACCCACGGGGAATGCGCTGGTGACCTGGCAGAATGTGCCCACGTCGTACACCTCGCTGGGATCGTGGATGACGTCCTTGTCGGCACCATCGTCCTTGAACATGAAAGCACCGATGTAGGGTTGCCCTCGCTTGACCATGTCCGCAATCGCCTGTCCGACCTCTCTATCTCTAATTGTGATGGCCTTGTAGAATCCCGGGAACAGCGGACGCTTGACGAGCGGTATCGCCATGACTTGCGGGTAGACGTCGGGTATCGAAGGCTTGACGAGGGCTCTTTCGGCGCCCTTTCGCTTCTTGCCACCGCCGTCGCCGCCTGAACCGCTTCCTCCTGCTGCGCTGCCTCGCCCAGAACTCGCCTTTGGTGGTATTGGCTCAGGCGCATCGCTCTTGCCCTCGAGCTCTTCTGCTCTTTTCTGCTCCTTCAGCTTCTTGGACTCTTCTGTTTCTTCCTCCTTGGCCTCCTCCAGCGGCTCTGGTGGCGCCTTTGTATCGTCTTCCTTCCGTCTACCCAACGTTGTGGAGAAGCTGCGGTATGCGAAGAGCGCGGCGGGCGGCGAGGAGCATCGGTGATGTTGCCGGGCAACCAGCGATGCCGTGCATTGTGCGGGGAGATGGCGCGACGAGGCTCTAGTGGTGATAGTCCTCGCATTCGATCGTGAAGCCTGACGAAGGGCCGCCCGCCACGGCAAGTTCTGTCCGTGGAACATGATGAAATGGCGTTATGTCGGCGTGGGTGGTGGTAATACTATACAAAGAATGAAAAGAGTGCACGTGGGGATACGTGGCACTCGTAGTATGACCGGGAAATCTAAGAAGAGGGTTGGGTGGGGTGCAATGAAGGTTGACAGGTTGTAGTGGCGGCGTGTGAATTGCTCAGCATCCTTCCGAATCTCGACATCATCACCGCCCAAGCTCCTCCGATAGCCCCGATGGCAAAACCTCGGCAACACGCGACACTGCCAATCCGCCTCCAACCACCGCCTTTCTTTCGATTACTGCTCGATTCTGGCACCTCAATCCATTTCAACCCTTTCTCCTTCCAATCTACTTCACGTCGCTTGCTCGCAGTCACTTTGCCATCTATCGTCAGGCTCCGACCTCGGCTTCTCTTCCAAGGTTCATGCTCGCCGTTTACGTTTCCAGTCTTGTAGAACATCATCGAATCCGATCGAAAGCAGGCAGACCGACCGCTCGATCTTGCTTATACATCACATGCGCCTAGTAATCTGGATGCGCGCTCTTGCCGCAATGCGGGAGAGACGCGTATCTGGGCATATCGACTCTTAACTCCGTTGTAGGGCGCAATCTCGTTCTAGGATATGCACATCGTGCTTGTTACAGTGTTCCTAGATATGGCCCGAATATATACCCCGAAAGCGAATCTGCATAGAATCGTGCCCACAGCAAGTCTCAATGCGCGTGGGCGATGCTTCCTCAAGGGCGCTATGAACGTGGCTACACGCGTGGGTCATGGTTACCGGGCCACGTAGAGACCCCAGCCATCGCGCATCTCATCGCGCGATCACGTGAGGCCGTTTTCGAGAGTTAGTCGTGTCGCATTTCGCAGCATACAAAGCGTTGTAGCTCACTAATTGAAAGAACAATGGTATACGTATACTTCAACTGGGATTTGTAACATTCTTTGCAAAGCATAGCTTCCTTGTAGGCGTCTGACGGGGCGCCAATCCAGCTGATCCCGGTGCTGTCCATGAAGCCACGACGGAGTGACGATGATGGAGAAGATCCCCCAGTTCCCTCTTGGCCTCTGCTCAAGTCACGTCAATTAGCGGGCGATCTTCCCACGCCAATGGTAGGTTCCACGATATGATCACGCTAACGTCATCGCGTTCCACACATTCCAACGGCATGATGTCCGCCCAGCGCCGAACGCTTGTCACAAGGCCAGCAAACGGCGGCTCAAGCACTATGAGATCACTCCGGATCTCATAATACCGCTATACTTTACCAATGCAATAGCCTTCAGTTTGCTCAGCCTCCACAGCGGTTCTAACCTTCACTCAACTCACGATCGGCTAGTGTCTTGAAAGCGACATCACCATGTCACACCATTCGTCGCTCAATGACAACACGGGTACGCCTTCAAAGTGAACCACCCTAATTGCATGTTCACTAATCCATGATAGAAAGTGCATCTCTACCTCGACGCAAGAAGGAAGTGCAAACCCGCATGAAAGATGGCAAAGAGGTCGAACTCCACACTTGGAACGGTCCACAAGATCCTGACAACCCGTATGTTCCTCGAGACTCCACCTGAACTCAATTGCTGATGGAAACCAGGTTCAACTGGTCAACCAAGTACAAATGGTTCTTGACAATAACCGTTTGCTTCATCTCCATCTTGACAGGTCTTCCGGCTGGGTCTTACGGCGCTGGCAACGAGTACATGGCAACACTATTCAACGTTCAAAACGAGCCGTTTCCAAACCTTTACTGGGCGACGTGTTCGTGGAATATGGGTGCTGCTATATTCCCACTACTATTCGTACCTTTGACCGAAAACACTGGTAGAATGCCTGGATATTTTGTAGGTTTGGGTGGCAGCATAGCCCATCAAATCGCTAACCCCTGCGCAGGTCGCCTACATCGTGTTCGAATTGTTCCTGTTCGGCTCAGCCTTTGCCGATAACTTTGCAACCTTGGTCGTCACCCGTTTCTTCGGCGGTGGCGCATCTTCCGTTTCCATCAACATCGTGGGCGGCAGCATTAGCGATGTATGGAAAGGTGACAAAGCTCGGAGTCTGCCAATGTCCATTTTCGGCTTCACGTCCGTAGCTGGTATTGCTCTTGGGCCCTTCGTGGGTAGCGCAATCGTACAGCTTAGCTATTCTTCCACTAGACTACAATCGCTAAGGTTATTATTAGCTCTCTTTACTAAAAACTAGTACACTACTTAAGATAACTATTAGTTATATTACTACTACTACTTAGCTAAAATAGAGTATAAGTAGCTAAAATTTTTACTTATAAATTTTTACTTATATAAACTACTATAAATATAGTAGCTATAGTATATTAAAATTAGCTCTTTTATATAAACTTAGACTAACTTAAGTAGAATCTACTTTATAATAGCTACGTAATAGCGTAAATTATATAAGCTAAGGCTAAGCTTTAATATACTTACTATAATAATATAGTTTACTAGTACTACTATATAAGCTAAAAACTTAATTTTAAGTAATTTAATAGAACCTAAATAAGACGCTTTTATACTACTAGCTCTACTTTTAATTACTTTATATAGCTCTTTTATATAAACTTAGTTATATACTATTTACTAGTACTATTATTTACGCTAGAGAATACTTAAAAAGCGTTATAAGCGCAAGAGTAAAATAAAAAAATAATTATATTTATTTAGAGAATAAAATTTTATAAAAAAGCTTATAAGTAAGTTAGAAGTAATAGAGAAGAACTATTAGAGGCTTGTAAGTAGATTTAATTAATAACCTTAGCCCTAGCTTCGCTCGAAATCCCCTTGGCGATGGTAAGCATATGCATTACCTGATTGGACCGACTAACGAATATGCAGGATCTACTACATCCAAATCATCTACAACGCGGCCCTAATCCCAGTGTTCTACATAATCCTCAAGGAAACTCGTGGCGACGTCATCCTCAAAAAGCGCGCCCAGAAGCTTCGCAAAGAAACCGGTCGCGAAGTCTACGCAGAATCAGAGCTCGAGAAGCCCTCGATAGCTAGCTTGCTCAAGGTTTCATTCATGCGACCTACCAAAATGCTATTCACCGAGCCTGTCGTAACCTTCTTCACTCTTTGGATCAGTTTCGCCTGGGGTATCCTCTTCCTGTTCTTTTCCTCAGTCGTTCAAACCTTCAGCGCTAGCTACGGTTTTGGTACCTTCCAGACGGGTCTTGTCCAATTGGCCATCACGGTTGGAGCGCTCATTGGTACGCTTATCAATCCCTTGCAAGACTGGATGTATCTTCGCACTGCTTCCAAGAACAAGGAACGCCCTGGCAAACCCATACCCGAAGGTCGCTTATATACCAGCATCCCTGGTTCCTTGCTCTTTACTGCGGGATTGTTCATGTATGGATGGACGTGTCGACCAGAGATTCATTGGATCGTGCCTGCGATAGGCATTTGCATCGTTGGTGTGGGCATCTACTCCATTTACATGGGTGTAGTCAACTACCTCACGGATGCTTACGAGAAATACGCTGCTTCTGCACTTTCAGCCGCATCGCTTGGTCGTAACACGTTCGGAGCCTTTCTACCTTTCGCCTCATACTCGCTTTTCCAGAATTTAGGGTTCGGTTGGGCTGGCAGTCTTCTGGGCTTTGTCGGGTTAGCATTGAGCCTTGTGCCGGTGGTGCTACTTCTGAAGGGCCGCGAGATCCGTAAAAAGAGTCCTTTCATGTCAGAGGCCACGTTCGACGATGGAGATGACGATGAAGCGGTGGATAATGGCAAGGATGGTGCGAGTCATCGAGGTACATTTGGGCCAGCGGGCGTCGCAGGTGGGCCACCTGGCGGAGTTGACGAGCGTGTCTAGATGGTACACGAGGTCATGCAATATGGGTGATGTGGGGGATACTGTTTCAACGTTCGTATGTATGTTACCATTCGATTATATTCACGAGGCAGGTGCGAGTTAACCTCGCGGACTCAATTTCCGTCTGTACACCTTCCGCCTGAGAGCTTTCCCCGCCATCTGCAATTGAGCTCTCGAGCTATCGCTTCGCGGATCCTAACCGGGAGGGTTACCAGCTACATCGTACTGTCATCTGACGCAAATTATAACGCGGAGACCATGTAATCACTAGCAGGGTCAATGTTGCGAGAAAAGGTCCAGTCAAAGCGCGCTGTCGCAGGCAACTCAAGCGCTAGTCCTGGAGTAGGCTGCACCATGCGTATAACGTCTACGGCGAGAGTAGTAAAGGGACTTCTCCTGTTCTTCTACCATCACTTGTACACTCCTGGGTACTTCTTATACGTCGTCTAGTTCATTGGACGCGCTGTTGTAGCTCCTGCGCACCTCTACCGTTGGCGGCCAAAGCGACTGTTATTGTACTACTTCACGAAGCCATCCCATCAGCACATTGACTTCGCTGGACTATCACATACATACGACATGGCGCAACCACCACAAGGACTATTGAGTCTCCCGAATGAGCTTCTCCGCGATGTCGTTGCGCCCCTCAGTCCAGCCGACCTCCGCCACCTGCGTGAAGTCAACCACCGAGCCCTCGACTTTATCCTCGACTATTCTCGACCATGTTTCACTGGACTCGCCGAGCTACCAAACGTGCTTATTTTGGAGGTTGTCGCGCATTTGACCGACAGGGATCGAAGCCGACTTGCACGGACGAACTTTCGATTCTACTCCCTGATTATGGACGCTATCCTGGACAAAGAGGTGCGGACACAGGGGGTCAAGCTACTCGAGTTAGCATTGAGGACAGGAAGCAAGGGCTTGATGAGACGACTCCTATTCAAGGGTACGGATGTGGATAGACAGTTTTGCCATGGCTGGGGTTACTATCTCAGTGACAGCTGTTACTTGGCAAGTTCACATGCCACAACACCTCTGACATCCGCTGCGTACCACAGCGACGTAAAGATGGTCGAACTACTCCTACAGTTCGGTGCAAACGTGCACGCACTTTCCAACTACTGGATCCATGAGGGATACAGAATGGGTATACGGTCGGCCACACCACTATCATTTGCAGCATATCTTGGAAACAGACGCATAGCTGAACTGCTCATAGAAGCGGGAGCGAGTCCGATAATCGAGGGTAGGTCTGAGATGCTCTCTATAGCTATGAATAGACGACACGAGCCCATCGTTTCATTGCTTTTACAAGCCCTAGACTCTGCAAAACAGCTTAGCGCGTCAGTCATAAGAGAGCTCATCCAAATGGCTTCCGGACAACACTTTCGATCCCTTTCCACAAACGTAATCACACAACACGAGCACGTCATCCTACGGCATCTACCCCCTGCATCAGTCGACAAAATTCAGGTTCCAGAATATATCCTTGCAGAATTCATAAAGTGCGCTGCAACTGGAAAGCTCGCTATGGTTGTCAGTCATCTCCTACAAATCAGAGGACGACTACAACTCCAGAAAACAAGCTACCTCGACGCAGCACTACAAAGCGTCATCTCGCTCGACGCCCGTAAAGAAGACGTCCTCAAGAGGGAGCTGCATCAAGACGTCTTTCAGATTGTTCAAGCATTGCTAGCCCATGGTGCAGACCCCGATTCTGTCGCCCAAGGAAAGTCTGCTCGAGACATCGCGACAGCTCATCCGGACCCTAGAGTGAGGAATCGACTAGTGAGAATAGTAAACCCAAGCCAGCTGACCAAAGAGCTGCCTTCGCTGATCGGACGGTCATTAACCACTCCGTCGCAAGCTTCGTCAACGCATCGTCGTCCACAACGAGGTCAACCCTTAGCGAGCTTATGGGATTTTGTAGGCCCCCATAATCAGCAATGTTCACTTAGAGGTCATAAGAGCGACAATACTAGCGTCTCAGAGAGCAAGGGCGTTGTTACAAGTGGTGATAGAACCCAGGATACCACAACGTCAGCTTCAACAACCCGAGCTATAATTTCTGAAGAGCAAGCAAAGTTGCAAACAAACGCAGCTTCGCCTCCACGTTCATACTCACAGCATCATGACTCAGCGTTGGACTCAATTGTCCCAACACAAAGCGCATGGGTCAACACTTCCTCGAACATTCGTTCCGCCCCTACCGCTGAGGAAAAGGTCTCGATGGAAAAGCCCATCATTCGTCCCAAGCCAACAAGAAGGATGCCTAGTCCTCATAGGTACAGGGTTGAGATGCCTTTCGGATATCAAAGAAGCAAAGACACGTCAGCAAGGAAGAAGTGACAGAAAGAGTGCATAAGATAGGTCCTCAACTAATCTCTGACTGGCCAGGGATTGTGTCTGGGTTCATTCGAGGCTGGACAGTGGATGAAGCAACGGAGAAAGAAAGGCAGTGGTTAGACACGAGAACAGAGACAGTGAAGATGATGCTGTGAGCGATTCTTGTATCTATTCTAAACACTACATATTCAAACATGTTCTAATACCCGTGCATGTCCAGATGCACGCCCCTGGGTACAACCCGGGGAAATCGTTCAATCAACTCAGAACGCAACAGCCTTCATACCGCGCTTGATGGGCATGTTGGCGATCTCATCGCGGCGACGAGATGAAGTAAGGAAACCAGCAGGATACTCGACAACGGCATCGCCAGACTCCGCAGCTGGTGCTGGTGCTGCGGCGTCGTCGTTCTGCTCTTCAGCAGGGACGGGCTCGGCGTCGGCGGCTTCGTCCTGCTTGTCTTCCTCGTCCTTCTTGTCGTCCCCTTCGGCGGCGTCTTCCTTGTCGTCGGCTTCAGCTCCGTCTTGCTGCTCGGCTTGACCCTCCTGTGCCTTCTTGTCCTCTTCCTCTTGCTTCTTCTTGTCCTCTTCGGCGGCTTTGGCGTCTTCGTTGGCTTGCTTCTTCTCTTCCTCAGCTGCCTTCTTGTCAGCTTCTTCCTGCTTCTTCTTCTCTTCCTCAGCAGCTTTAGCGTCAGCCTTCTCCTTAGCCTTAGCGTCTTCAGCCGCCTTCTTCGCTTCCTCAGCAGCCTTCTTCTCCTCTTCCTTAGCAGCCTTGTCGGCCTCTTCCTTAGCCTTCTTGTCTGCCTCCTCTTGCGCCTTCTTCTCTTCCTCAGCGGCCTTCTTGTCGGCCTCCTCTTGTTCCTTTGCCATCTCCTCAGCGGCCTTCTTCTCTTCCTCAGCCTTCTTCTGCTCCTCTTCCATCTTCTTCTTCTCCTCCTCAGCTGCGCCCGGTGCCTCGGTGGCCGCAGGCTCAGCAGCAGTCTCAGTGGCGGAAACGGTCATGTTGGCAGACGCAGTGGCGTTTGCAGCCTCACCCATTACCAAAGAGAAACTCTCAGTGACCATGGGTGCAGGTGGTGCAGCGTGGGTCATGGACATGTTACCGGCGGTAGGGGCTTCGGGAACGACGGTGACGGCAGCGGGAGGAGGCATAGTGTGCTCTGGTGCGGCCTGAGTCTCCTGAGGCGGCATCTCAGCTGGTGGTGGCATCTCGGCAGCAGGTGGTGGTGGCATCATGGTATGCTCGGGTGCTGCTTGGGTCTCGTGTGCAGGCATCTCGGCTGCTGGAGGCATCTCAGCGGGCATCTCAGCAGGTGGCGGTGGCATCTCAGCAGGAGGCATCTCCGCAGGTGGTGGTGGTGGCATCTCAGCCGCAGGAGGTGCCATGGGGTGTTCAGTGACCATAGGAGCTGGGGGCTGCTCGACCATAGCCGTGGTCATCGGTGCAACAGTCTCGTGAGTGATGGCCTCGGCTGTAGTTGTTGCTGCAACCTCCTCAGTGGTAGTGGCTGCGGCTGAGATACTGGCCATTTCCTGAGATACGTGCATGGCCTCCATAGCATCTGCAGAAGACTTGTGAGCGGCATCCTTGGCCTTCTCAGACGCGGCGTGCATGGACTCCATAGCATCTGCAGAGGCCTTGTGAGCGGCGTCCTTGGCCATCTCGGAGGCCACGTGCATAGCTTCCATAGCAGCGGCAGATTCTTGGTGAGCCTTCTCCTCTGCCTCCGCTTTCGCTTGGTGTTCGGCCTCCATCTTCGCCGCAGCTTCCTGATGAGCCTTCTCCTCTGCTTCAGCCTTGGCTTGATGTTCGGCCTCCATCTTCGCAGCAGCTTCCTGGTGCGCCTTGTCCTTGGCTTCCGCCTCTGCTACGTGCATGGACTCCATAGCGTCGGCGGCTGCCTTAGCAGGGTCAACTGCTGGAGCGGGCGCAGCCTCGCCCATGTGTTCGGTACGCGCCACAACCCTCGACGGGATGTCGACATTCCTTGGAAGAGGGCCAGCGGCGACAGCGGCCGCTGAAAGGAGGGTGAGAAGGGGGTATATCGTCTTCATTATGGGTGATTTGGGTGAATCTAAAAGGACAGGAATGAAACTTGAGTCTTCGTTATTACGACGAGAAAAGAGAGAATGAAGAGCTCAGCTCAATAAAATTAAACACTAGTGCACGGCACTTTGAAGAAAAGAAGGTAGGTGTTTGAAGAAGACTTGATGTGAGAGTGGGCAGAACTTATGAGGCTCGGGGTTTCGCGATATATGTACCTTGCCCGGTTCCTTCGGCATGGAAGAGACTCAGGACCTACCCCTAGAAGCAAACAGATCATCTGGAGCAGTTCCACACTTGGTAGTGTTTGATGGATTCCCGGCATCGTTTTCGCCATGTCGAGGATGCCTTGAGGCGGTTGGGCGCCTAGGCAGGGTGACGACGACGCTGTTCCCCCACCCGTCTCGAACACTTACAGCTGCCTCTCCACTGTGTAGACAGCATTGACAGTGCTTGGCATGGACGTTACCGGGCCAAATCCATGTTCGCGATGAGGCGCACGCTGCGATCGACCAATCAGATGCGTACCTGACGAGGAAGAGGCAGCGAAGCCTGGATCCGCTCGCCAAAGTCTTGGCCTGACAGGAACCGTCGGAGAGTATGTAGCAAGTCAGGCTGCAGGAGTATTGCAGTGTTGAGGCTCGCTTCATCGGCGGAGACGCATGTATGCGTGTTGGGGTTGTGATGCGGACAAGGTTTCAGCAGCCCGAGACGGGCAAGTGTCCGGGTGTCATGGCAGCCACGAGCCTCAGGCCCAAGCCACAACGACGTTCGGAGACCGACATGATGTCAAAATCTTCAGGGAGCTGTTTGGACACTGCACCTCCGAGCGTGCGTTTGCAGAATTTGCAGTCGGGGGTCTCTTGGTTTCATGACACTCTAGGTCTCGGGTGCGACATCGTCCGAGGTCGAGAATGTTCACCAAGCAGTGATGGACGTTCTTTTTTTCCAGTAAAGGATGGACTCGTATGATGGGGCTATAGCGACCAAGAGAATCGAAACGATGATGCAAGTATTGAGCAGTCTTGAGCACCTCCACGCATGAGAAAAACCAAACATGTTGGCTGCTATAACAGCATATACCATGACTGAGGTAATGTCAAAGCCTACGTTCATGTTAGATTATTGTTCTCTGCTGAACTCATTCCGGTGCTGGCTGTGAAGATGTGTTTGATTTCCTAGTGGAAAAAGGTGGCCAAAACGTCTGGTTCCTGACTGCCTGGCATTAGAGGAAAGATTCTGCGAGATGCAGATGGGTTAGATGCGGTGAACAAACGTCGACGTGTGTGTTTCTCGTATAACTTAGGTCTCGTGCGAAAACGCCAGGGCTGAAACGTAGTTAGGGGCTTCGGGTAGGGAGGAATCTAGAGGTCACTACTTAGAGTGAAAGTTACGCCTTAAAGTAAATAACAGGCACAGATTTTAAGTCTCTTTATATATACTAATAGTTATAAATAGCTTATATAGATAAATTAAAATTTATTATTATAAACTACCTAGATACCTACTATACTTTTTACTATCTTTACGTTTTTAAAAAGCTTAATAAAGTACTCTTAAATAGCTTTAGTAAGCTATATTTTTTCTACGTTAGTAGAATTAGTAATTTTATCTTCTAATACTAGCTCTTTATAAAGATAATATATAGCTTTATTAAAAGCTTATTTAGAAGCTCTAAGTTAATCTAATAAGAAGTTATTAGATAGTATAGGCTTAAAGTAGAAAAAATATTCTTTACTAAACTAGTTAATAAAGACTATAAGCTTAGCACTAAGAGTATACTATATTTTAAGCTCTTTTAAAATAGTCTCTAAAAAAGTACTACTTAGCTCTTTACTATACTAGCTTTACTATACTAGCTTAATAATTTCTATTAGATTCTACTCTATAAGATAGCTAATATAATTTTTAGTATAGCTAGGTTTTATAAGCTTTATAAGGTTATACTATATAATTATTATAAAAAGCTTTCTTAAGTGTATTATACTACTATATTACTCTAGAGCTTTAGTGTATTTATACTATAAGGTAAGTGTAAAGCTATCTAATATTAAACTATTATTAAGCTCTTAATAATAAAATATAAAGAATATACTTAGTCTATAGCTATAGTTATTAATATATTTCTCTAACTATAGTATTAAGAGAAGAGATAAATAGCGTAGAATTACTAAAAAGAGAGATAGTGTACTTTTTTAATCTCTAGACTTTTAGCTACTCTAACTTCTACTTCTACTACTACTACTATTTTTTATTTTATACTTTTTAGATTTTAGTTACTACGTATTTATAGAACTTATAAGATACTAGTATAAAGCTATTAACTCTTTTTTTAAACGTTTACTAAGCTTCTCTAGAGAAATTTTGCGTATAGTAAAGACGCACTAT